TTTTCACAGTTTTTTCTCTCTTTCCTTTATCTTTCTCCAACCGCTCAAAATCTCAGGGGGGTGATTGTTGACATTCATCATATTTTCATGCATTATGAGTGATGTAGTGTGATGTTTGACCGTGTTTATCGTGGGATTGTGCACCATTTTGTTTGATTTATTAATCTATGACGGAGGTATATTTGTCGTTGGTTTTACAGGAAATATGCCCGAAAAAGCGTTAAAGATGGAATCGGGACGAATAACGACGAAAATAAGGTGCAGACAGGTCACACGACTCGTGTGGATCGTGACACGAGTCGTGTGGGTGAGAAAAATCGGGCTTTTGTGGGATTTTGGTGCGGCTTTCCCACACGAGTCGTGTAGCCCATGACACGAGTCGTGTGGGCTCACACGACTCGTGTGACGTCTCGTGTGGGGTGCTCGTGTGAACCTGGAAGTTTAACGAAAATTGAATAAAAGTCACACGACTCGTGTGGCCTGTGACACGAGTCGTGTGACGCGCAGACAGTCCAGCGGGAAATAGGAAACCTACGCGATTTTGTCCCTTTTTCAACCCATATTTGCCCTACAGTATATAAGAAACATAAAGAACACGGTTTTAAGACTTTTGACACCATTGGAGGCCTAGAGAAAGCACGAAACACACGAGAGATTCGAGGGAGTTAAGATTGAAGATCCGGGAACTAACGACAACAATAGTTCTTCTTTCTTTTCTTTTTTTCTTCTTCATTGAACTCATGAATTTGTTTATTTTGAGTATTGAGAATATGTTTAGTAGCTAATCTCATTGAGATTCTAGGATTTGCGAGTACCCGGATTATTTTATGAAGTGATTTTGTTTATTCATTCCGGTCTATCTTTCGTTTATCAATTTCTTGTGATTATATGAATTGTGTGAATATAGGGCCCGTATTTATGCATATTTGTGATTGGATTGAGACCGAGAGGAGATAGTTGATTGCTAGAATTGGGAAATTCATAACGTAAGAGACTAAACAGACCGAGAGGTTGATAGAATCTTGCGAGAGAGCTAGAATCTTAGGAGCTTATGGGAGTTAGTTGTTCATCTTGAGACCGAGAGGAGATAGATAGCAATTAATATCTACGATTTAACTTGTTCGAGAGAAAGATGTAAATTAGTTTAGCGATTATCCCTACGATTGGTAGAATTAAATAAGGTTTGAATGAATAAGAAAACTTCGCTAGAATAAACCCGAGGAAAGCATAGCCTAGAATCTATTTTCTCATACTTGATTTATTTAGAACAAGCCTTCATTAGTGTTAGAATTGTTTTTGCATTCATTCATTAGTTTAGAATAAAAACTCCAATCGAATTTGCATTAGTCTAGATAATATTTAATCGTTTATATTTTGGTACTTAATTATTCTAGCAACAATCTCTGTGGAATACGACCTTGCTCGCCGTTTGCTACAGCTACTCCGTACACTTGCGGGTAGTGAAAATATTTTGCGAACAATTGTTTACAAAATAATTTACTCACTTTTATTTCAACTCAACTTTAACTCAACCCCACTATCTTTAATATTAATCATATAATTAAATAATACAAACCAATCATACTTACACATCACATCAACTTAATTCACTATTCATCCACTCACATAATTTTAACTACCTATCATTTCCAATAATTTATCACTTACTTTTACATCCAATCATTTTTAATTATTTTATTTTAAATATTTTTTTAATACATTCTTAAAATTCCACTACGACTAACCATACCACCTTTTTTAAAATTAACTATAGTTAACCAAAATAACTCAATTTGAACAAATTATTTCAAAAACAATCAAGCACTCACCTTCTTTATGTGCAAATCAAAATATCACACACATTAATGAAATTGATTTTTTTCCACGGTTTAACTGCCGACGGTGGATTTTGGAACCGTTGACACCCACTAGGACAATGATGGTTAGCATGACTTTATTGGCATTGCTCATCCGCGGAGTATAGCTGTCGTCTAATGGTTTTAGGCTTTTTGCCTCGTAAAAAAAAAAAAAAAAAAAAAAAAATGATTTTTTTCCCCCAAAAAAATTATATCCGCAGAAATAATAGGAATTTTGGTCTGTAAATTGAGAGTTTGTGGATAATCTGACGTGGCAGCATTTACGCCATTGAAGAATAAACCGAAAAGAACCACAGTACTAACTCAAGCAGTATAAAATAACAGAAAAAGGCATCACCGAATAACCGTGAAAAAATGGCTGCTCTTGACCTCTTCAAGCTCTCGTTCCTCGTCAGCGCCCTTTTCTCCGGCTCCGACCTGGCGGGATCTCCGCCGGAAAAGAAAGCCGCCGGTGTCCGGGTTTTCCCGCCGACTTGTAGCCGCATCGAGTGCCCGAGCTACGACGTCATTAACACCGGCGACGGGTTCGAAATCCGGCGGTACGATTCCAGCATGTGGGTTTCCACACAGCCCATTGAAGACGTTTCCTTGGTCAAAGCCGGAAGTATTGGCTTCCTGCAGTAAGAACCCATTTTCCCTCTTCTCGTCGTTTTCTTAATTTCTGGATCTTTTGATGCTTTAATTGATTACAGTCATTTATGGGTTTCTGGTTCTTTTGAAGCTTGATTAGTTAACTAGCCGCTCAAAGAGAGTAACTTCACATGATTTTCTATAGCTGGGCTAGTTAAGGCTCGAG